AGGGTACTTAATAGGCATTAGGCATGAATATCAAAAAGTAATGAGCATTTTGGAATAAGAAAATGATAAGCACATATATTAGAATAGGAAGCGCAGTAGAAAAGACATAAGAATAGGAAAGGAGAGGAAACCTTGAAGCAAGTAAGGTCCCCATGAGCCAATCAAATGGCTTAAATATTGCTAAAAAAAAGTTATTTCCATACCAGCTAATCTTTAGGATTAGAAGCAAAAGGAGCATAGTAGTACCTGTAACAACAATCAGAGAGAGATTTATAGTAGTCATAGGTGATATTTCATTAAAAAAAAGGAAAATCTTCTTGCAGTTGCTGTCATTTGTCTTAAAGTTAACACACAGATAGCCTTGATCTTATAAGCCCTTAAGAGTTTGTTTCTGCCTTATAAAAAAAAAAAAAGGAAAGGAAGTCCTCAGGAGTCTAGTACAGTGGAAACATTCATCAAGGCACTCACAATTAGCATTAAGTTTCAACAGGCATAGAAATGTCAAAAATTATCATTTATAGTATAAGGAAAATAAACTCAATAAATCAAGTAGAAGAAACTCTCCATATGGAATCATGTAATATACCCAATAAAATTATTTGTGCAATTATAAAAAACAACCAGAAAGTTGTTTTAAAAAAAAAAATTCAAGCTCTCGAACCACTTGAGAAAAAACAGTTTTTACATGTTACCAATTCTCAGAATAATACCTTTGCAATATCAGCAAAATCAATACTAAATATCCTAAAAACAAATCTTATCATAGAACCTTATCAATAGCTATGACTCGTGGCTCTTTAGGCATTTCCTCTTTTGCCTTAGCTATCATCTCTTCATTATTTTTCGCCGCCAGTATATGGAATCAAAAAGGAAAACAAAACTTAAGAACACTAGTTCATGCAAATAGTTAAAGATCCTTGAGTTTCTTATATATATATATATATATATATATATTTGTGTGTGTGTGTAGGATTCATACCAAGAATCTCTTTTGCTTGATATCTGTAGTAGATTTGTCGGTAGCCATGGTTACTCCAATGAACGTAGCATATTACAATGACGACACAAAGGAAAATGATGGCAGCAGTGGCGACAGCAGCATCATTTGGAGGCTCGGAGGAGATCTTCAATGGCAATAACGTGGAACTTAGCAGCGAGGATCGATGGTGTTCGAGCATAATAGGGTTCAGGGTAAAGAAGCAGAGGAAGGGGCACACAATTTTTTGCTAATATCTAATCTAATTTTAAGATAAGATAAATGACGATTAGATTTATAATTGTCATATATCTTTATATATTGACTTAATGATAGATGACGGGCTATACAATCACCCGTCATATAATATTTGTAATTTTTAATTTTTTTTAAATATATAGAATTTGATCCTTTATATGTCAGGTGTGTAAATACTCGTCATATATAATGAAACATTATATGACTGGTGTTATAAACACTCGTCATATATTATAAAAGTGTCTTCTGCCTTTCTTTTATATCACAATTTTTTTTTATAACTGTCATATTTTGAGGCATCAAATATTTAGAATTTTGTAGTAGTGAAGGTAAAACTAATTGATAAACCTAGAAGCTATGGGTGTAAAATGTGAGTCTTTTTTTGAGTATTGACTATCTTTTTTTTGCATTTTCTTATTTTATTTATAGTGTCAGAGTAATGGTAGCCTCTTCTTTAAGACCTAGAATGTTTTGTCGAAAAATCAGGGATCCCGCAAAACTCATGGCATGATCTTTACTTAGTATCTTTCATTTTTGACAACCAGCCTGTCTCATCGAGATACTTGGGCACAATGATATTGCTCCCATGGATTCCGGGATCACTTGGAATTGTGTCTTTATATACCAACGGTCTAATATTTGCAACTGACGGGATTTCAGCATGCTTATCCTGCCATGGCTTCCTATTGAGCTAGGGGTTGACCCCTCTGTTCAGATTGTTGATTGAGCCTAACTTTTCAGTTACTTGGCCCAAATAACTTTATGACCTATCCAATACTTTAGCGAGTGACGTTTCATATTTTAGTCCAAACAAATTGTTCTTGAACTTTACTCATTTTCACCTTTCATAATTTTTCAAGTGTATTACGAATATTACAAATGTTAATTATAATTAATTTAAATAATAAATTTGCTAAAATTTCTAGATGATATAGTTTCCAAGTATTTTCACCAAAAATAATTCATATAGATATTTGTTATAACACTTAAAATTATTTTATCATTTTATTTACCTTGAAATTTATTTTATAGATTAGTGCTAGAAGGAATGAGATTACCCAGCTTATAAGAGTTAATAAAATAATGATAACTTTCTTTAACAAAAAAATACTGAATTACTGATCACAATAAATAAAATAATGCCATATAGTATGATTAAAAAGAGTAAAACAAATAGCAATTAACATTGATATGGGTGATAGACTGTCATCATTCAAATAGCTAGTTAGGGGTTCAAATTTCAATTTTATGTATTTAACAATTTAGCCGTGGTAATTAATTTGGGAGGGATCTACCCCTTTCTTCGTAGAACCTCGACAGAAATATCCCTAGGTGCCATATTACAGTACTTTTTTAATTTTATTTATAAGTCATTTTTAATATATTTTATCAGTATCAAAAAAAATTTTAAAACTCATTAACTCTATCTTAAAATTTAATAAGTTCTCAACTTTATCCTTATTAAATATACATATTTTAATAACATATTTTTTTTCTACAATATTTAATGGAGGGTAAAAAAAAATTTATGATAAAAATTTTATGATATGACTTATAACTAGGATCAAAAAAATTCTTTTCTCTCTACCCTATAAATAGGTCTAGAGAGAGCACTTCTGTTAAATTATAATTCCAATATTGAAACTTATGGACTTGAAGTTTATAAAAAACAAAAACAACAACCAAAGAATTTCAAATTTAAATTTGCTTTTAAAAGTTGGCGACAAAGGAGGCATTCACTCGGATGCATCTTCTCAAATGAAAAACAATTTATGTGAGTCGAATCCAAAATTCGATGGATCTTGTGATATAAACAGAACTTATAAAATTAAATACTTGGAAATTACTCAATAGGTCTTAAAACAATACAGTTATTTTTTTTTGAAGTAATAACACATACTCCTATAAAATATGTATTTTTTTAAGCAGGGTGATAGAGTTTTTACCTGAAATGATCACAACCTAACTCGATCTGAATTAATTTGGACATGTTAAAGTCCTCTCAGCTTGAGATGAACAAACTAGAATATCAATTGCACTAAAAAATGTGAGAGACAAAAAAAAAAGGGGAAATGTATCATTTTTTTTGGTATATAAGGGGAAATGCATAATTGTTTATTGTCTTTTCAGCTTTTGTTGCAATTGTGACTACTTCCATTTGGTTATGTCATTTTTGAATATGAATTCCTGTTTAGCTTTGACTAAAATGCAATGGCAGTTCAATTCTTAAATTTAGGTAACTGACTAGTTTTGGTGTAAAACACAAGTTTAATTCATCAGCTCGATGTGTTTTGTTCCAGGGGTATGGATAAACCATTAACTTGTTAGCTTCTCTTCAAATATTAATTTTAAATCAGAGAGTGCAAATGGTAAGGATATAACTAGACTTTTTATAATTTCGAATTGTATTATATCTCAGTTACATTGCATCTGAGAAAATGCCAATACAGTATAAATAAAGATAATAAGTACAATTTCAACAACATTGGACAAACTACTAGACACCATGAAGAATAAAATAATGCTATATAGTTAAAAAAAATAGCAATTAAAATTGATATGAGTAATAGAGACTCTTATCACTTAAACAAATAGTTGAAGGTTTAAATTCCAATCTTATATTTGTGACAATTTAGTTGTAATAATTAAGTTGGGAGAGATCTACACCTTTGTCCTTAAAATTTTAGGAGAAATATTCTCTACTCCCTAGACAAAAATAAAAGTAAAAGAATTCATTCCGTGGGTACGATAATAGAGTACTTCTGTTAAATTACAATTCCAATATTGAAACATATGGACTTGAAGTTTATAAAAAAATAACAACTAAAGAATTTCAGATTCTCTTTAAAAAAATTCTTTTAAAAGTTGGTGACAAATGAGGTATTCACCTGGATGCATTTTCTCATATGAAAAACAATTTATGTGAGCTGGAACCAAAATTTGATGGATCTTATGATCTAAAGAGCACTTATAAAAATACTTAAAAATTATCCAATAGATCTTAAAATCATACTATTATTTATTTATTTTTGGAAGTAACACCAAATTCTTATAAAATATGTATTTTTTAAGCAACAATGGTAATAAAGTTGTCACCCGAAATGATCACGACCTAATTCGATCTGAATTAATTTGGACCCATTAAAGTCCTCTCAGCTTGATATGAACAAACCCAGAATATTAATTTCCCTATAAATGTGAGTGACCAAAAAAAAGGGGAGGAATGTGTAATTGTATATTGTCTTTTTAGCTTTTGTCTGCAATTGTGACTACTTCCATTTAGTCCTGTCATATTTTAATGTATGGATAAAGCATTGACTTGTTAGTTCCTGTTCAAATATTAATTTTAATTCAGAGAATGAAAATGGTAAGGATGTAATTACTAGACTTTTTATGATATTTCCACAATGTATTATATCTCAATTACATTGTATCATAGAAAATGCCAATACAGTATAAATGAAGATAACAAGTACAAATTCAACAACATTGGCAAAACTATTAGACATCATGAAGAAAAAGTTGATGCAGAAGCAAAATATTATAGGACATAATTGTAATGATCAAGATCTGAATCTGCTTATTAACTTTATCTTCTTATTAAATTACAATCATATCCAAATAATAGCAAAAAATATAAATAAGGAATATTTTCTCTACAATGAAGGAAATGTTAAAAATTTCAAAAACACAGAAAGTGAAACAAAGGAGATTAGATCAGACCGCAACACAGTACTATCATATAACTATCTTTACAAGCAAGTATTTATTGCCTCTTCATGTTCAAGAAACTAAGCAATGGCCTCTCTGGGATATGAATGAACTTCACAGCCCAACCAATAGGCCAAGAAATAGCTGCCATTAAAATGCAAGCACCCCATTGCTCCCAATTCAACCTTTCAGTGTTTGCAAATTTCTTCAAAAATTCCACCATCAATACCTGAAGCACAATGGTTATCCCTATCATCCCTAGAAACAACTTGTTCCTATGAATCCCCTTGAACACATTCTTTTCCTCTAGCTTCCTTGCATTAAACTCATTAAACACTTGGCATAGCACAAATGTGTTGAAAAACAAAGTGTCATTTACCTTTGAGCTCACCCCAAATAAAGCCTCACCCATGAATTGTAGTGTCAATAGAATTGTGATCTGGTACAAAGCTTGAGCTAAGAGATTTCTCCACATGATGATATCGATGAGAGGCTCAGTTTTACCCTTTGGGGGTTTGTTCAGTAACTCTATTGTAGGCTTCTCTGTTGCTAGAGTTAGAGAGCCCAAAGTGTCTGTTATGAAGTTCACCCACAATAGTTGAACTGTTGCTAACGCCACTTTATTTGTTGATGCTGCAACCAAAAAATTAATTGTAAGTGCAACAATGTTTACTGTCAGTTGAAATTGAATGAACTTTTGGATGTTGTGATAGACACATCTTCCCCACTTTAGAACTGTGACCACTGAGGAAAAACTATCATTCAAGATAATTATATCTGAGCTTTCTTTTGCAACTTCACTACCTTGAATCTTCTTGCAAAGCCCTATATCAGCTTTCTTTAATGACATTGCATCATTTGCATCATCTCCTATTATTGCAACTACATGACCTTTTTGTTTGAGGCATTGAACCATAAGAAGCTTGTCCTTGGGAGAGGATTGTGCCATCACGCAAATTTTATCCACTCTCTCTATGGCTATAGCTGTGAAAATATTGTCTCCTGTGATCATTTTTACATTTACACCTGCTTGTTGGCAATCTTGTATATCTTTATAGACACCATGATGGCATGAATCCTTAATACCAACAAGTCCTAAGAGGGTGAGGCCTTCTTCTTTTACCTTTTGGCTTCCTTGTTCATCTTCTTTTGTCACTTCTAAATGTGCAAAAGCAATACATATGAGGCTGCTGGCTGCCATTCCTTGAATGATTTGCTCAAACTCCATCTTTTTGTCACTATCAAGATCTTTGATATTGTCAGAAGCATCATAATACTTCGAACAAAATTTGAGTACTATCTCAGCTGCTCCTTTCCAATGTGCATGAATTTTGTTGTCAGCTTTCCTTCTAATCACAACATGACTTCTTTTCTTCTTTGAATTGAAGGTTTTAGCATGAAGGATGGTACAATTTTGTGTCAACTCCTCCATATTCATGGCCAAATCAAGAACATCCCATGAAATAATGGCCTTTTCTATCGGATTACTTGTAAACTCATATTCTGAATCTGTTGATTTGAACTTGTAAACACTACCTATTGTGTTAAGGGCAACCCCTTCTTGGATTAGTTGAAGAACTTTTGAATGCATTAATGATTCATGAGCTTTCCCTTTGATAGGTTCTTGTCCAAGCCAGAAATTAGTCACCTTCATTTGATTAAGTGTAAGAGTCCCGGTCTTATCAATACAAATGGTTGTAACTGACCCCATTGTCTCACAAGCAGAGAGCTTCCTCACTATAGCCATGCCAGCCATCATTTTCATTGAGTAAGCCAAAGTTGAAGTCACAGCCAAAGGAAGCCCTTCTGGAATCGCAACAGCAACAATAGCAATAGAAGCTGCAACAATTCCAACAACTCCATTCACAATTCCATGGAACTCTTTATTCCCATTTTCATCTTTTGTGTTGCCAGTGAAGTAGAGAACTAGTAGGACATTCACAAACAAACCAGCCTTGCCTATCGTTGAAGTAAGCTTTCTAAGGCGTGATTGTAGAGGGGTTTCTTCATCGTTTTCTCCGCTTATGGGACTCATCATTTGACCTCGTGTCGTGTTCATACCAACAGAAGTAACGAGCATTTTGGCAAATCCATTAGCCACTTTGGTCCCGGAGAACAAGAATGGGTTCTTGTCGCCATTAATTTCAACGTGGTGGCTCTCACCACTTGTCAAGCTTTCATCAACTAGCAGAGAATATCCTTCCAAGAATAAGCCATCAGCAGGAACCTGGTCTCCGATCTTCAACACCACGACGTCGCCGACAACGATGTCATATATCAAAACTTGTTGTCGCCGACCACTGCGTATGGCTTCGACTTGGACGATATTATTGCTATCTTGCGACAGCTTGTCTAACAACCTGTTCTGTCTGAAATTGTTGACGGAACATGCGGCAATGATGAACGAAACAGCAACGAAAATGGTACCACCGTCGTAAAATCCTTTTTTGACTCCGTACCTTTTGATTTCAAAGCCGAGAGACAAAGCAGCACAAGCCAAGAAAATAAGAATGATGGGGTCCAAGAAAGCCCTTTCCACAAAATGAAAGAAGCCTTTTGAAGGTCGTGTTTGGTAGGTGTTGGAACCAAAAGTTTTTTGTCGTCCCTCGACGTCGCTGGAATCATCCTCAACGGCGCTGACTCCATAGTCAACGCTGGTTTTTAGAGCAGAAGCCACACCATGGACGCCTCCAAGATTCTGTAGGGTTTCTACGTTCTTCTTCTTCATGAGATGGGTGAGGGTGGCTTGGCTAACAGTACCAGATGATGGCAACGACAAGAAAACTCTCGAGCAACGGATACTAACATATGCAGATTGCCATCTTTTGTAGGGTTTGGGACGATTGTCTTCGTTTTGCAGAAAAGGCTTCATTAGTAGCTCCACCTCGCCGCCGACGAAGTGCTCCGACATGATGACGACTGGTTTGAAACCCAGAAAATTTGAACACAATATGGGAAATGACAGAAACTAGCAGCAAACGCAGCGAGCTGATGATGATGATCATTAAAGAACTGGAAGCTTAACAATGTATGAAACCAGCCATTGAAATATGAAAACAGGAGGATACAGTTTCATCAGTGACTGAGGAATATAGATAGTGAGAGATGTGGAAGAAGACTTACTTAAAGAACCATATGGTTTCTGTTTACTGAAGAAGATATATACAGTTATTTATAGGAGTTTGATGATCGATATACACGCATCTGTAGTTTTTCTAGATTACAAGGTCACGACAAAAGAACTGTTAGTCGGTACTTGATGAACAAGTTAAAGAATAACTGCCGTCATTATGCATGTCAGTGCAAAGTAAACAATGATTCAGTCTGTCAAAATAAGATCCTAATTATTGTAATAATGGTGTTATAAAAAATATTTGAAGCAAATTTTTTAAAAAAATAAAAAAGTAAATAGTTATACCATAAATTTTGTTGAGCACAAAATATTAGAAAATTGATGGTATAAATATATTTTTTTTAGGGGCAAAAAAAGAACTTCGCCGTTTTAAAAAGAAAAAGAACGTTCGCATATTTTTTTTTTTACGAGGAACGGTAAAAAAAATATAAAATTCACGAATCGTGTGTATCGAGTAATTTGATGAATTCGATTGGTGCAGCATAAAATCTATAACGAAAATTTTTTATTTGGCTATATCTGCGAAGCCTCGTTGTAATTACTTCGACGTTCTTATTGGGGCAAAAAAATGGAAAAACCAAACACGAAATATAACTTCGCCGCGTCATTTGCAATTGCCTCAGCTATTCTGAAAGGGAAGTCACGTGGAAAGCTGCAGATCTTCAGCTTTTTTTTTTATTCATTATTCATTAATTTAATATTTAATATCTAAAATATTCTAATTTTAATTATTAATTTAATGAAATTAAAATTCAATGAAATTAAATATTAACTATTTATTAATAAAATTAAATAAATTAAATAAATTAAATAAAATATAAATATATATTATTTTGAATATATAATATTAATAAAATAATATTTAAGAATATAATAAAATATTGAATATTGAATGTTAATATAAATTAATAAAAAATTATTTAAAATTATTAATATTAATTATAATTATTAATATATTATTAATATGTAAAATTTATTATTAATATATAGATATAGAATTAATATACCATGATATGAATTTCATTCGAATCTGAGTAAAAATATTGAGTCTCATCTTCTTCAACTCCCAATTCTTCAGCTTTCCACGTGACTTCTTTCAGGGCCATTGCAAATAACGCGGCAAAGTAATATTTCGTGTTTGGTTTTGCCATTTTTTGCCCCAACAAGAACGTCGAAGTAATTACTGAGGTTTCGCAAAAATGCACAGCCAAATAAAATGGTCGATTATTTATCAAAGTATAAAATAAAATAAAATTGTCGATTTATAATTTATGCTACTCAAATCAAATTCAAATTAAAGGATACACGATTTGTTGGAATATTTACATATTGTGAATTTGCATTAATTAATTACTGAGTCCATAACAAAGTGATCTTTTATGATATTATTTAAATTATGATAGGTAAATCACATAAGTGAATCCATCTAAGCAGATACTCAACCTACAATTCTTTTACTGTAAGTTATTTTTCCTATCTTTTAACTAATTTTTTTTTTGGATGATATCTTTTAACTGATTGGGTTAAGAGGATTTGAGACAATTAAGATTAATCAATCAATTAATCAATTATATATTTGTCTGTACACTCCCTCATATTTCTCTATCATTTGAAAGTTAGGGGAGAATATTGTCAATTTCTAGGTAATCGAGACTTTACGTGTTTTATATTTTCTCTAGATTAATGGATTCACAGATATGCTCATTAAATTCAATAATTTTTTTATTGATATTCAAACTCATGGATTATTTAATTTAATTATTGAGTATTTTTTTTACCATTTTTCCTCGTAAAAAATATACAAACTTTCTTTTTTTAGTAAAAAATGAATGATTAATTTGTACCATCAATTTTCTAATATTTTATGTTCAACAAAAGAGATGTTATAATTATTCATTTTATTATTTTTAAAATTTTGATTCATATATTTTTTTCCAACAATTAAGAGAGATAGAAAGGTTGTTACTCCTTTAGGGTGTTAAAGTGTTTTATATTCTATTCTTTTAGTCCTATTTATAAAGTTAAAAAATAATAGTTTTTTTAATTCCATTTATAAATCATGTCTTTAATTTTTATTATTATAATTTTCTCCATTTATTCTTTATTAAATATTGATGGGAGGAAGTATGTTATTAAAGGATATATATTTAATAAGGTTAAAGTTAAATACTTACTAAATTTTTATAAGAGTTAATGAGTTAAAATTTGAATATTTTTATTATAATAAAAACATTAAAATTGATTTATAAAAAAGAATTATGTGTATATTTTCTCTTCATTTAAAAATATAAAATATTCTTGAAGGGTTGGATGTTTGTGGATATAAAATTTATTTTTTGTATTTCAAAATATAATTAATACATTTTTTAAAAAAATAATTATTTTATATTTATTTTTAAATTAAATATTTTATTTAATAAAGATAAATATAAAAATATGTGTGTAAATTAAGAGAGGGAAAGAAATGTTGGCTACAAAAACAGAGAGGGAAAGAAAGGCCAAGTTTCGCGGAACTATGGCGATTCTATTAAATAATCCAATCCCCATGTTCCAAATTTCAATGAAACGCGTCTGATTTTTTTTTTTTTATGGGGAATAAAAACGCGTCTTAATTTATGTTCTCACTATTACTTATTTTATTATCTCAAACGAGCCATGTGGATCATTTTCACCTTCCAGGCTTTCATAGTTTTTTAAGAGTATTGCAAACTGTGTGTGTGTGTGGATATGTGCATATATGTGTGTGAATGCACGTTTATATATGTATACACACACATATTAATTAGAATCAATTTAAATAATAAAATTGCTATATTTTCTAGATGAATTAATTTCCAAGTGTTTTTTTAGGAAAAATGATAATGAAATTCTATCGGAATATATAAATAATAATTAAGTTTTTTGAAATGTCATAATTCCTCTCAAGTTTTTAGTTACCTTTTTGACATTAATATTTTAGCTTAATATTTACGATTTACTGAATAAAAAGTTGTGATTACTTAAATAAAAATTGTGACTGATTATTTTTAGAACTTAGATTTCAATGATAAAAGAAATTTCACAATATAAATTGTGATTTCTTACTTAATACTTATAATTCATAGAATAAAAATTATGATTATTTAAACAAAAGTTACAATTAATTATTTTCAGAACTCAGACTTCAATGACAAAAAAATTTTACATGAAAATTTGTAATTTCTTATTCAATATTTGTGATTTACAAAATAAAAATTGAGATTACTTAAACAAAAGTTGTGACTAGTTATTTTAAGAGAAAGTAGCAATCAAGGACCACTAGCCAAATTTTATATCAATCAAAGATTGTTTGTTGTCAAAACTAGAATAAAAAACAAGCCTAAATAGACTGTTATTAATTTAAAATGAGTTGTTGTTAAAAGTCAAATGAATATTTGTTGACAAAAAACTAATCCAAATTTTGATATGTGGTCCTTGATTGCCATTTGTCAATAAGTATCCATTCAGATTTTGACAACAACTGATCCTTGTTGATTAATATAAATTTTGATATGTGATCCTTGATTGCCATATTAGTCATTCAACCTAAAATAATTAATATTAGAAAGGTACACAGGAATTTGAGAGGAATTATGACATTTCAAAAGATCTGATTGTTATTTATATATTTTAGTAAAATTCTATTATCATTTTCCCAAGTTTTTAAGAAAGAATTATATACAGATCTCAAACAAGAGAATTAATCATTACAAGGTTTATTAACAACTGGACTAAGGTCATTGAGAACACAATGTGTTGTTATTTTCCTTAGTTCAATTATTAATAGACTTTGCATTGATTAATTCTCTTGTGTGAAACTTTAACGTAATTTTCCTATTTTTTTTAAACAAAAGAAAGGAAGAATAATAGTAAAATCCTTAAATATTAAATTAATGACAGTTAAGTCTTTAAGATTTTTTTAAAAAAATAAGTCATAAAGATCAATTCAAAAAATTGTAAATAAGAATTGTAGTTTTAAATTTTAGTCACATTAAGTTATATAATTGTAAATAAGTTATATAACAACAAATAAAATTCTATATAGTATCTCTAAATATACTAGGAGAGATATTCCCTGCTGTTTATAGAGCCTAATCGATATATATTTTTTTAAAAAAATATAATTGTGGATCTCTATAATTTTATTAAGTTTTATTTTTAGTTCTTATAGTTTTTTTCTTGTGTCACCCAGTCTTTTTAAAATATAAGGATCGAAAATATTGAAAAAAATTACAAAGACTAAACATAAAATTTAATGAAACTACAAAGAAGGATTGTGTTTTTCATTTTTAAAAATGCTATATAGTATGATTAAACAGCGTAAAAGTTTTTTTTTTTTTTTTGGGCGAAAGAGGATCTATTACGAATGAAAAGAGCGTACAAAGGCTCACAAAACGAGTCAAAAGAGGCAGACAGCTATAGAATGTTTCAGAGGGAAACACAGAAAAACCGTAAGCCAAAACAAAGCGAGAAGGTAAAGGAGCAGACAAAGGCAAACAAAAGACAGCTGCCCAACTCCAGAACGGGGTTCTCGCAAGCTTTCCGACGAGAGGGACATCATCGCACCTTCAGCATCATTAGCTTGAATATCAAAGGATAACAAGTCGATAATGTCCTCTACAATTCCTCTACAAGTCCAGTCTCCAGAATCAGGATAACCTTTTGCGCACACATGAATTGAGGTGAAAGCAAGGCAGTCACTCTCAAAGTTAAGAATTATCAATACCCAAATCTTTAGCAAGCATAAGGACCCGTCTCAG